GACGCGGAAGAAAGGGTCAGCGTGGGTCGGGGGCTGAGAGGGGCCGATGAACAGAAGCGAGCGAAAAAAGGAGAACCGCGCGGAGGCTTTCATAAGCACCGGGACAAGTTCTTTGAGAGGCACGACCGAATTATACGCGGATCCGGCTGGATAATAAATTTAAAGGGAATGAAAGTAGATTAGCCGATCCGGGTTACGGATTCACCGTAGAAATTGATCTCGAGACGGCTCGTTGATCCCGCCGTTTCTGGGAAATTCCTCGAGACTCGAGTGATTATACGAGCGTCCCACGATTTTCATTTGATTTCTTGGAACGGTGATCCGCGGTAATGTTCATGAAATTGAATTGAAACTTTAACGCTCAGTTGTGAACAGTTTGTAACGCTTCGCGAGGATTACGTGAGAATGTTTACCGAGATTTTCTTTTACCTTTCAGTATGTGCACGAAGAATTGAATTTATACGATAGTTTTTCAGAAAAATAATTTTACAGTTTCATCTGATGATAAAAAAAGAAGTGAATAGTATCCGAAAGATTCATTCCAATATTCACATAATTAACTTGACTAAATAAGTCATTCAAAAACAGATATTACCGCTCTATTTTCAGATGAAAGTTCCCACAATTTAAGAAATGAAACATTTGCCTATCATTGTCCTCCGTATTAAACCCTTGCCATACCATTTAATCAGACAAGATCCGGGCCATAATTATGGTGACCGATATGTCACTCGTGTTGTCACCCCGAATCAGACTCGTGATATTTATGTTTGGTCCAAAATTTTTATTACGAGTCAAACTCGTTAAACGGCAACGGGTTAAAACCTCTTTACCTGAACACCGTGTCCGCGCACGCCACGCGCCGCATTACAAATTCCAATTATCAAATGAAACAACACCGTATCTTGGCAACGCGAACGCGCGTGCGGACCAATAACCGTCCGACCGAATAAACATCACAACGGAACCCCCGAACACCGTTTCTACGTATCGATTATCCTCCGGGGCCAGCGTGGATCACTAATTCACCCTTTAAAACGCGAAATCCGTCGTGTTGTCGACACGCGAGACACGCGCGCGTTAAACCGTGCGAAATTAATAGGGGATGCGACGCCGGTGACAAATTAAAGCGACACGAGGGAAGGATTAAGGTGTCGCTATCGTTCAAGGTTATGCGTAGCTCCGGCAATCCGTAACGATCTCC